GAGGGAGGGACCACAGTCCGGGTGGGAGGGGCTGGTCGTGAAACTTCCTGAGCTAACCTCCGCTTTTCATAATGCACGTAGATCAGCGGTGCGGATGCTTTCAAATCTGCGCCTGAAATCCACCGAGTATCGTCGGGATCGCATGCTTTGAATGTGACTTTGTACTGCCGCGGCTTGGTGCCGTACTTGCGATCGGTGATGACGCGGTCAACTTCCTCATGACCATCCACAGAAGGAGGGTCCTGCGATCGTCGGCCCGGAAAGTCGTCGCTCTTGGCTGGCGTGTATGTTGCCAGCTTCGAGGCGTGGAAGACCGGATGGACCGTCAGATGTTCTGGAATGTTGATCACAAATGAAGGGTCATCGGGCTCATCGCCCGCGGCTGCTGTCACAGACCAAGGTCCAAACCACTTGGGAAACAGTTTGTGTGAAACATCCTGTTCCAGTGCAAACTCTTCCGCGGAGACCCAAACCAGATCACTGGCGCGGATAGGACATGGCACGCGACGCCTGTTGGCTTGCTGCTGCATGTGAACTTGAGCCTTTTGCATATTTGTGCGGGATTAAGTCAGCAAGTCCCTGTACTTCCGAACGGAAGCGGGGGAGCAAACGACGTCAATGTCGGCTGGTCGAGGGAGGAGAAGGTCGGCGAAGAAGCGGCCTTTCCGTCCACCGTGGTGCAACTCGAATGGAGTTACGCCGATCGCCGGGTGCACCGAAGTGTTGTAGGCGAACTCGATGTCGGGGAGGCGGTCAACCCAATCTTTCTGGTCCGGACGGATGAGCGTACGAAACATCATCTGAGCGGTTTGATGTGCCCGCTCCGTCTGCCCGTCTATCTGAGGATGCCAAGACGAACTTGGTTTCATTGTTGTGCCAGACTCCTGTATGAGAGCAGTCCAAAATGCCGACATGAAGCGAGTGTCGCGGTCGCTGACAATGTCTTCTGGTACACCGTGGCCACAAATCCAACCAGTGTGCAGGAGGCGTGCCAGCTCGGGAGCCGTGGAGTAGTACTTGCAAGGGAGAAAATGCACGTACTTACTCAATCGGTCCACAACCGTGAGGATGCCGTCGTGCCCGAGCCGGTCGCGAGGTAACGGACCGGTGACGTCCATGGCAATGGAGAGACCGGGTTCCCGTGGGATAGGCATCGGGTGTAACTCGCCATAGGGATTGCGGTTGCGGGGTTTGCTACGTCGGCAAACTTCGCATGAGTCGCAATACCGAGTGACATCGGTAATGAGGTCAGGCTATCGGAATTGTTGTCGAAGCCGTGCAATAGTGCGGTTGACTCCGAAATGGCCGGCGAGTCGCGAATCATGATACTCACCGAGGAGGTGAGTCCGAAGACGACGGTCGCGTGGGACACACAATAAGTCCTTGCCTCTCGAGTGGAGGAGCAAGTACCCGTCGGCAATGCGGTAATGGCTGGTCGGCGGGTGATCCGAAGTTAGCTGGGCATATAGCGTGGTGAAATCCGGATCCGACTAGTATGCCCGGATGAAGTGTCGCTGAAGCTCCTCGTCGAATGCGAAGGCATGATGTGTCATAGCGCAAAGATCAGGTCTTCGCGAGAGTGCATCTGCTGCGCGATTGGAGAGGCCGGGAAGATGTTCCGGTGTGAAGTCAAACTGGTCGATGAAGTACATCCATCGTTTGATCGTGCTGCTCACCGTATCCTGCATCGTGTAGTAGGTCAATGGATTGTTGTCCATAACCCAGGTGAACCTACGACGCCCAAGGAGGAAGTGCCACCATCGCTTGAGAGTCATGACGAACGCGAGTAGCTCCTTCTTCCTTGCATCATCAAGCTAGTTGATGGGAGGCACTTTGTGGCTGGAATACTCCACAGGGTGTCAGTCGTCGCCGTCGTGCTGTTCCAAGACTGCCCCAATGCCATAGCCGGAAGCGTCCGGAGTCACTCTCGTCGGCAAGGTGGGGTCATAGATGCTAAGGACAGGGGCCATGAGCATAGCCGTCTTAAGTGCTTGGAATGACCGGCGTGCGTCGTCATCGAATACGAATGGCACCTTTGGCGACTGTAACCTCGTCATAGGTGSAGCAATCMTGGARTATCCGGYGAYGAATCGYTGATARTAGCCCGCCAATCCCATGAATGAACGAACGTCCGTGGTGTTGGTGGGCTCAGGCCATACTCGTAGGGCCTCGATCTTGTCCGCAAGCGGACGGATGCCTTTCGGCGTCACATAGTGGACCAAGTAATCCAGCTCCTGCTGTGCGAACTCGCACTTGTCGCGGTTTGCTTTGCACTTGGCCTGTCGTAGCCGCTCCAAAATGGTGCGCAGGTGTTCCACATGCTCTTCCAAACTCCGACTGTACACCAAGATGTCGTCGAGGTAGATGAGTACAAACCGATCCAGCATGTGTCGGAACTCCGTTGTCATAGCCGCTTGGAAAGTGGCTGGGGCATTCGTAAGGCCAAACAGCATGACCAGCCATTGGAAATGCCCATACCGTGTCTTGAACGCGGTCTTGTAGCGATCCTCCTTGTGAATCTCGAGTTGGTGATATCCCGACTTGAGGTCCAGCTTGGAGAAGAACTTGGCGCCGCCCAGTCGCTCAAGAAGATCGTCGATGCGTGGGAGAGGGTCGGCGTTCGTGATTGTCTGCGCGTTGAGCTTGCGATAATCGATGCACAACCGCAGGTCCTTGTTCTTCTTCCGGACGAAGAGAACAGGAGCACCATATGGCGATGAGCTAGGCCGAATCCAGCCTTTCTCTAGAAGGTCGTTGAGTTGTGCACAGAGCACACTTAACTCTTCCTCGCTCATTCGGTAAATGCAGCCGCGCGGAGGTACGGCCCTGTCCTCGAGGATGATCTCGTGGTGGATGGGTCGATCCGGTACTACTCCGTGCGGGCCTTCGAACACGTCGCTGTAGGCGTCGAGAAGTTCGGTGATGCGTGGATCCGAAGATGAGTCCGTCGATGAAGGGGCGGGAGGGCGTGGAGAAAACACACCCCCATCTCCTCGATGTCGTCTCTGATGATGGAAACTCTCATGCTTGCGGCGGATACCACGTGGCAGTTGATCGAAGGATGAGGAAGAGGCACCGTGCATGTAACTAATACTCTGTTCCGATCACGAATGTGAACGGTGCTGTGGAAGAAGTTCACCGGGTAATCCTCGCTTCGCAGCCATGACATGCCCAAGATCATGTCGAATTTGGTGTCCAGAATGTCAAAGGACACCGCCTCACTTGCATGAGGGGCAAAGTACACTGGGACGTCGTCGATGCACCGGTCGATTGACTTGTGCGCGCGACCGTCCGCCAACGTGACTTGCGTAGGCTGGGACTTCCTCCAGACGCGTAGGCCAAGGCCAGCGCGGTCCATGAAGTCCTGGCTAATGTAGTTGTGAGTAGCTCCGCAATCGACTAAAGCGTTGCAGGTCGCCTCTCCGATCTGAATGCGTACGTATAGCAATGGTAAGTCAATGTCGTCATACCGTTGCGTCTTGAACTCGCGGTCAATCTTCGCAATGTAGGCGTGAAGGTCGACAACCTCTACTCCGGCGTCCATCAACGGAGTGGGTACTGCAGTGTGCAAGTAGTCCCGCAATTGTGCCATGAGTACGTTGCAATGCGGTTTCGACAATCGTCCGGTCGAGGGAACGGGCATCCACTGGAAGTCCGTGAACGTCAATGGGTCGAGCTCTTCAAGTCTTGACCATGACGTCGAGTCCCCGGCGATAGATTGCGGCGAAGCTGCCGAATCGGTTGCCGATGGTGATGAAACCGTGCATGCGATGGATTGTTGCACGTGGAGCGGTTGGTGCAGCGGTGGAACCAAGTGGACAGCATAATCCTCGTAAGTGTAACGAGAACTTGCGACATTCGCGTTCTCCCCAGATGTGCAGGAGGCCGCTAGCAAGGCGGCCGAATCTAGCGGAGTGGAAGGTGGAGTCGCCTCACCTTCCGCGGAACTCAGTTTCCCGAGTTGAGGCGGGGTCGCACATCCTCCTTGCCCTGATCTTGGCACATGGAGGTTTTGTTCTTGGTGTTGTTGCACCAATAGCAGCTGCCGTACGACCGCGGACCTAGTACTCCGCCTCGGTCAAGCTGAACTTGACCCATGGAGGCTGTCCATTTCCGGCCTCCGATGCTGGTTTTGCCTTCCCATTATTGCGGGACTTGTTGTTGCTTCGCGGCTGGACAACAGCCACTTGATCTCCGTCACCTGATACTGGATTGGCTGCTGGGTTATCTCCACTGTCCGACTGGACTGCAGCGAAGTGCTGCGGTCGCGGACCAGTTCGTACCTTCTCCACATAGGTCGGCTGCCATGTTGATTTCTCGTGTGCAGCTGGCCTGTTGGTCTTGATGATCTTCCCTCGCCTTGTCAATGATTTCGGTGAAGGTGGTGTATTGCTCGCGATCACCAAGAGCCTGGCTCAATGCAGCACAGGACCTATTGTAGAACTCACGGCGTAGATGCGTGAATGGCAAGTTCAGATTGGGCACTGCCACAATCTTATGCCACTCCGTGAGCCAATCCCGGGTTGCGGTGTTGCCCTGTGACATCGTGAACAGACGGTTGATGGCGAGTGCCAGCGCGTCGTCGACGATGAACAGCTTCTTCCACAGTCGTGTCAGTTCCTCCCATGTGATCTTGTCCTTCAAGTCTGGTACGTCGATGCCGTGGGAGGTTGCCAGGTGGGTCAACCAGGTCTGGCATCCGCCCTTTGAGTTCAAGAACAAGGCGCCGATGTACACATGCTTAGCGACCGGCAAAATCCTGAGTTGCGTTGTGAATGCTTCCCACGAGAGGACCGGATCCTGCTGCGTGTAGTCGTCGAACTTTTCCAGTTGGAAAGTTGGCATCTTGTACATCTTAGGATTGCCATCCGTGTTCGTCGACTGCAGCTGCTGGACCTCGGTCTTCAAGGTATGCAGCTGACTGTTGATGGTGGTCGGCGCAGCGAAGGTGCTGATGTCGCCGAGCATTGCCACTACTTGGTCAACGCGTTCCTCCAGTTGGCGGCTAGAGGGTGCACTGCTGGAATCCCCAGCATCAGGTCTTGGTGGATGTTCCAAGTCCTGTACACGGGCGTCCAGTGCCCGTGTGGCATCCTCGTGCTGCGTCTTATGGTTCCGCACAGCCCGCTGAAGGTTCGCCAACTCGGACTGTAGGTGGTTACAAGTGTAAACCAGCTTGGTCACGAGCTTGGCCATGAACTCCTTATGCTGCTCCTCCGGTGTCGCGTCGTCGCCGTTCGGTTCAAAGTGCCAGTACTTGAGTCGCTCGATGTTGTTGGCTTCATGCCGCTGTAGCAGATCCTCGACTTCCTTGCGGCGAGCCTGGGCATCTGCGTCTGCTTCGGCCTGTAGCCGCAGCTTCTCTGCTGTTGCCGCTGCTTCAACCTGTAGCTGGGCAGCCTTGGCTGCCAGCTGGCGTTGTTCCTCAGCCTCAATGAGAGCGAGCTAAGCGTGGAAACATTGTTTGTACGCGGCAATGGACTCGTTGGCCAGTTGGCCTGGCAGGCCCATTGCTGGACCCGTCATGCTGACGTGGCACTGTGTCTGATGTGGCACTGCTAACGTGGCACTGTGTCTGACGTGGCACTGCTGACGTGGCACTGCTTATGTGGCACTGTCTGACGTGGCACTGCTTACGTGGCACTATGTCTGATGTGGCACTGCTGACGTGGCACGGCTTACATGGCACTGTCTGACGTGGCACTGCTGACGTGGCACTGTGTCTGATGTGGCACTGCTGACGTGTCACTGTCCGACGTGGCACTGTCTGACGTGGCACTGTGTCTGACGTGTCACTGCTGACGTGGCATTGTACCAACCGGGAGTGCAGGCGAAGGGGTGGGGGGGGGGGG